TCCAGTCTTTTGGGTCCGTTTGCATTCTGTGTAGAAATTATCTACTGGTGGCAAAAATACCAATTGGAGTACTGAAGCTGTTTTGGGGTGTTTGATGCCAGATAACACAGAAATGACAGATCCGATTGCCGATTCAAAACATTAAAGGCTGCCATCACAAGTCCCTTTAAACATTGGGACTCTCTCTCGCAGTCCCCTTTATCTTAATCCTCTCTTAAATAGTGCGGTGGCTAGCCACCATGCTAACCACTGCCAAGTCTGAAGGTCGCATGCCTTTGATCTCTCAGTCTAGTCCAGTGGCTTCATTATCTTTTAACTTTGTTTTCAACTCCAGTTAAGGTTTGAGCAAGTGGAAAAGTGGGAGCTGTCACTGATACTCAGTGCAGATATAATGCTATTTAAATGCTAATGTGTTAAGAGGAGCAAAACGACCTTTACTCACACTGCGGCGCAGCAGCACAGAACAGAAGCCCCTAATAAATGAGCCTCTGACTCTGTTTCCCTTCCCATCCACACCTCGTGTCACTCAGACGTACGTTGTATTTATCACCGCCGAGCCCAGAGGATTTGGACAACATTATAGAGCTGGATTTTGGTTCAGGTGTTAAGGCAGACATGATTGGATGGTTGCAGAATGTGCTTATTGGTTTATTTGAGGAAATGTTTGCTTATCACAGGAAAATGTCTGCAGTGGAGAACTGTGTCTGTCGAATTCGTAAGCCTTTTTAAGACTACATTAAGGATCCCTGCCGTTTCCTATCTTAATATATCACATATTCTAATTTGCCTTCATTTGCATAGTCATTATTAGCTACATTTATAGCCAGAATTCCAAAGAGAATTTTGCAGCTCTATGTTGTGTTGAATTTTAATTGCTCTCCAGTTTCCAAATTCACCCTCCAGTCTAGCAGTCCTTCGGAGCAGTTGGCACCCTTGCCAGAAAGCCGATAATTTGATGGCAGGTGCTGGTATCTGTGTTAAAAACAACAAGCCCTTTCCCTGTCCACAGATGTCAGATACTTGTCTCCCTGTTTGCAGAGCACTTGCCAAAAGGATGCACACTCAGAGTGCATCTATCCCCTTTAGCCACCTCGCTTAAATAATAAATAACCTTCACAATTTGTTGTCAACTTACTCCTTGAATCAAACGTCAACTTTTTTCTTTCCTTTAGCTAAACTAAAATTCTGTATTAGCAGAGAAGGAGGTTGGAAAATGGAGGAAGAGATATGGAGGGTGGATGAGTCTGTCATCTGTCGTATAATCCCAGGAAATGCCGAAACTCTGCCGGTAGGTAATTTATTCAGCGCAGCTCCACAAGATACCTCAAGGAATAGTCAGCCTTCAGAAAGACCTTGAGGTAAGACAGTGACATAACTTCAGACAGAAGTGTAGCATTGCATCAATCAATAATGCACTGTCATCATTCTGCTGCAATTACTAGCAAACAGGAAATTAAATTACTCGGGTTAATGAAGTTCAGATAAAATATTCTCCATAGCAATGTCTTAGATGGTCATATTATGTGCAGCATTCCAAAAACAGTCCCTTCTGAGGAACAATAACCCATCTTTTTTGTTTCTCCTCATGCATGCTTAGAGTTGCCTGGATTCATTTTAAAACAGGAAGCCAAGCTAGACATCCTCATAAGAGGAAACTGGTAAACAAGGAGAATTTGTTTTTCATCTCGACAGATGGAGCACGGCAGCAACAGAAGAGCAAGGCTGCACCTCAGGGGTTGAGATCTTAGACCTCATTAAAAATAAGTTGGAATGGAATACATTTAATGAAAGATGAGAAGGAGCTTCCACCCTTAGTCACAATTCACTAAACAGCACAACAGCAGTAAGTCATTGTGATCTTGGTATTTTGGGGGGGGGGGATTTGTCAGTATTCTTAGAGCTATTGAGAAAATAATCAGGAGGGAAATACTGGATGGAGTCAGTAACACCTTGAGTGTGCTCTGACAGGGCCCAGAGGAGTTTTCATAGAGATGTACTTGTCTGTCTGGTTTGTATGAGAGAAGAGTATACAGTTGTATTCGAATTTAAAGCATCAAATCATTGAAATTAATTCCTGAATGATTGTTGGGTATTCACAGGAAGGGTATGCAGATTTAGTGTGACAAGAGCTACAATTAAAATAGTTTTTTTGCTTTGGTAGTAATGCAATGTTCTATAATGTTTGCATTATAATGAATAACATCGTAATCTTTTAAGAGGATATTGGGAGTGCAAGTTAATTTTGTGAAAAAGTTTTATAAAGCTGTTTGTTGCTCCAGAGGGGCTTGCACAAAGTTTGATAAACTGACTTAAGCGATAAGAGTTGGTTGGGGCCAAAGACAAAACGTGTGAAAATATAAATAATCTTCGCTTAAGTCAGTTTATCAAACTTTGTGCAAGCCCCTCTGGAGCAACAANTGAGGAATCAAAAACCAAAGAGTTCCAAGAGCATAGACCTTACGTGAAAACAGACAAGACGAACTGACACTGAACACTGGGAGACAGGGGAATTTAAACACCGGGTAACAAGGCACAGGTGGGAACAATCAGGGGTGGGGCTGACACTGATGGAGACAGGAGACACACGAGGAGTGACAGGTGAAAACAATCAGGGAATTAGACACACCAGGGAACTAACGACAGACATGAAAAACACAGGGAAAAGGACCAGACAATAACCCAGGAGGAAAGACATGACAGCAAACACCCAAACCTAGACAGACAACACTAAAACCCGTGACAAACAATCAGAATAACCATATCTAAACTTGCTTGCTTGCCAATGATACGCCTCATGAACCCATGCACCTTCACAGTAAGATAATAAATTGAAGGAGAGTTTTTATATGCTACGGATGGGAGTTTAGGGGGCTAATTGTCCCCTATTTTTATTATATCATGTACTGATGGTATTCTTCCATAGTACCCCTTAACACAACTCTGCAGCTTCCTGTCTGTTTTCATTTTTTCTCAATGAGGGAAAAATGTGCCTTTTTTTAATACCATTATGGCACACTATTAATATCATAGGCGGTTTTAAAATGATCAAATCAAAGCAGCAGAACCAGAGATAACTTTTTTTATGGTAAAGGCTACATTAACCCACAATGCAACTCGTGCTAGTAGTGGCTAATGCCGCTAGCCTTAAACTAGGAATGAGGAGTGGTCTAAAGAGGTCTGGTTTTCTTTTCTTGCTTCAAACCTTGAGATTATTTATATTTTCACACGTTTTGTCTTTGGCCCCAACCAACTCTTATCGCTTAAGTCAGTTTATCAAACTTTGTGCAAGCCCCTCTGGAGCAACAAACAGCTTTATAAAACTTTTTCACAAAATTAACTTGCACTCCCAATATCCTCTTAAAAGATTACGATGTGTAAAATTGTTTTTTAAATTCCCCTTTAATCGTGCCGTAAAAAACTGAAAAAGTCAAATGAGGAAGAAAGTTGTCATCCTAATTAACCTAAACAACCTCTCGGGTCAATCCCGGGGCTCTTATTTCAATTTCCATCTGCTGACAGACAATGAACAATAATCTGAATGTTTAATATTTGCCTCGAGCAAAAAAAAAAAAAAAATGAAAGGAAAATGGCTCTATCAGATACTAACCTGCAACAGGAGTTGGAGAAATTCATAAAATCCTTAACAGTTATAATGTATGCCGTACTATGCAAGATGTTTAAAATACCAGACAAATTGTTATTCATTATAATGCAAACATTATAGAACATTGCATTACTACCAAAGCAAAAAAACTATTTTAATTGTAGCTCTTGTCACACTAAATCTGCATACCGATGTGATAGTACCANGTCTTGTCTGTTTTCACGTAAGGTCTATGCTCTTGGAACTCTTTGGTTTTTGATTCCTCACTGCGTGAGCATTTTCTTTTTGTTTGATGTTTTGGAAAATAAAGTATCCAACAAATACTTTACCTCTGTCTCCCGGGTCTTGCATTTGGGTCCTACATACTACGTGCCTGAGATCGTAACATTGTTTGTTTGTTTCCTATTTCACAACACAGTGTGCAGATACGTTTGAAACATTACCTGAGCATTTCTCCTACAATATACAGGAGAAAAGCTCAGGCAAAAAACAGATGGCAGACAAACATATTATTGTATTACCAAATAAAGATATTGTTGATGCGTTTTTTTTAAATAACATTTTACACTTTGACACTTTATATGGCATCACTTATTAGCATTCATAGCTAATTTAAACTTCATTAACCAAAACATGCATTTATTTGAAAACCCTTGTATTTGGAATCTATTCTACACTTGAACTCTTAATTGTAATTAAGAGGGTCATGCATGACATACAGCAGCATGCTCCCTGTCCCACATGGAATTTTAACCCCCCCCCCCCCCCCC